TGTCTTTGCTCCACAGTTTTGGTTTTAGCTAATCTATGTCTTCCAGGAATCAGATTTATATAGTTTTACCCAAGCTCGAAAGGTCAGTTTAAGACTTAAATTTATTATCTGGGTTTCTTAACTAGTTGAACATGGCAGACAGCAAGCATAACTCTCTGYATTAATCAGACTCACTTAATGGTATCAGTCTGTCAAACAGAACTGTCCAGAAAAAAAATCAAAAAATCCAGCTCAGCTTCCTTCTTGATAACCATTTTCTTAAACAGAAGTTTTACTTACTGCATTACTCAGTAATTATCTTCCATATGTCATGAACTATTTATGCAGAGATTAAAAAAAAAGTGAAATTAAGCATATGCTGACACTCAATTACGGCCTGTCTTACCAGTTCATTTAATAGTAGATTTGCATGACTTTAAAAAGGAGACAGTATTTTCTCTTACAATACTACAAATGTCATTAATAGACCTTAAGTAATACTTAACTTTAGCTATCCTGTGGCGTATTCATTTATGTGACAGTTTATCAGTTTCTCCATCATCTCATTTGCTTTRTAAAATAATCAGACATAACTATTTCTTAGACTTGGATAGATAAGCTTTATATTAAGCTCTGCAACTTTAGCTTGGGTCAGATGTTTATGTTGTTCAAGAGTGTTCAGCAAAGCAGAATTGTGTTCTTCCCAAATCTGTAGGCARAGGAGAGGAGCATACATACAGCAGAGCAGCTGCCAGTGATAATCTGCATGATGAACTGCAAGGTATTTTGGAGCTTCTGCATTGTGTTTGATATAACTGACTCGTACTCTGCATGCCAAAGGGATTCTACAAAACTTCCAAAACAGCTGAGACCAACCAAAGGGATTTCACATTCCCTAATTCCAGCAGAGTGATATATTTACTGGATTTCTTTTATGCCCTAATGGACACATGCCAAAACTAGCAAACCTATGTCAAAAGCTGTGAAGGTCAAGCTTTGTACTGTATCTGGTTCCCTATTTTAAGTATGGGAAGTTACTGTGATGCTTGATATATCACCATGAAGTAACTTTGATAAACTTATATTTTTTGCTAACAGTTTTTGAAATCATTAATGCAAATCTAGAAGGGTGCCTTTAAAGAATGAATATGGTTGATTCCAAGTGTTCATGTCATTTTTTTAAAGCAATCAATAAGGCTTTTTGATTCCACTTAAAGCTATTTAATTCTTAGCTTTATACTTTGCCAGATTTTTGTTTCAGAAGTAATTTTCAAACCAATCTGATGTCTCATAGTACAAAAAATAAAAACAGGGGTTTTCTTTGTATCATTAAAAGCTACTGCATTGATTATTGATCATACAATATACCACATTTCCATGCCCCTACTTATGTCCCGTTACTATAAGCATGTGTCGTACCATGGCAGTTGCTGAAAGCCTCTGCGAGAGATTTGTCTTGAATACAAGTGGCAGGTTAGTTGCAGCAGCTTAAAATACTACAATCTTTAATAAATTTTATGATCTGGTATTAAGTTTACCAGTCTTAAGCCTGTACTATACCATGATAAAATGTAATCATTATTCACCTTTTATAAAACAAGCCTACATAAAAATACTGTTTAGTCTAGAAAATATGCAGTTATTTTTGCTCTTTTTCTGTGAGTTTTTCCCATACTGAGCTGCCTGAAAGCTGTTGTAAAATTCCATGTCAGTAGCAGAAGCGGAGGCCAGATTTTTTTTCCTGTATTTGTGTTCCAATTTTGCTGTCTTGCCGATCTGACTATGGCTTGTTTTCAATGTTTCCCTGCTGGAAAGAGGAGTACTTCCTAAAGTAAGATATATTAAAAAACAAACAAAACACGTTTTTTAGTAAATTGTACAGGAAAAACACTGTGCCAAATCCAGGCCTTGAGGGGTGGGAGGGAAAGTCACAAGTCATAGAAAATGATATCCAAACTGATACTTTTACTTTTTGTAAAGTARACCTATTTGCAAAGCTCTTGTTTTAGAGCCTTGTTTGCACTGAGGAGAACGTAAACCTCACATAATGATGCTTTTCAGGTGTCTGAGTAAGTTATATAACATGTTAAGCTTGTGGTAAACCTTAAGGAATTGGCTATTAAGATTCATTTCTTGTTTGCCTTCAGCTTGAGAAAGTAGACTAGGAATTTGATTATTTATTTACACCCATGCTGTTCTCAGTAGCAAGGAATTCCTAATACACAGAGAAATACCGGCACCAGAGCTGCAGCCATCTCGCTCCCGCTGCTCAACAGGTGCAGTAACACACAGAGTCACTCTCAGTGCCCTCCGGGCGCTTGGGCCAGACCTCCCTCTTTGCTCTCCAGCTCCAGGGAACRAACATTGCAGCAGCTACCAGTGTCAGGAAAAGCCTTTGGCAACCAGGTCCAGGTGAGAAATGGAGACGTGGCATAACCAGGTGCCTAAGTAATAAGGCAGAGACACAAGTTTAGTTTTAAGGACACTAATGGAGATAAAGTGCAGATTCCCTTCATGTTTTTTTTCCATGATGCTCTGAGTGGCTAAAAGCAAAGCAAGAACATCAGTGAGGTACTGCATTAAAATCAACTGCAGAAGTCAGAGAAACAAAGTGAGATTGCCTCCAAGCTGGTTTTGGTCAGAAGTAGCCACAATATGACGGGGTTGTAAGTAAACTTTTTCTAATCCTTACTCACATGCAGCATACAAAGTTTTTATTTTTGTGCTCATCTTTCTAACACGGTGCTATAGGTTGTTGGGCAGCTGAGCACATTTGCTGTAAGCAGGAGGACACGCASCCCCTGTTCTGCTCTCCATACGCTTTGTAACAAGCAACACCTCACAGGCTGCAGGGAAGCTGTCAGGAAGGAGTGCACTATATATAAAGCATCTTCATGTCTCCTCCTGCGTTGCACCTGGCAGAATACTAGGGAGACAGAACAATATTTTGCTTCTAAGAAGCAGAAAAAAAACCATAAAAAGTAATTATAAATTGCTAATTGCCATAAGGAACTGCTACTCACTCTTTTCTCATTAAAGCTTGACCAACTAGTTTTGCTGGTTCCTGAGGGACAGAACAATCCTATCAGTCTGCTGTGGAAAGGGCTACAGATCCTCTTGGTGAACCTTCATGGAGTACTTTTTGCTGAAGCTGCATTACATGCCCCATCATGGACAGGACTAAAAATTATTCCCAGACTAGCAGAGCTGCAAGTTTTGTGGCCCAGCAGTATCCTTTCCCCTTCACCTCCTCCATCAACCTTCAACAAACCCCACAGAAAAAAAAAAGCAGAGTAAGAGCAAATTAAAAGTATCAAAAGGAATTTGTCTTCACATAGGTTTTAAGTGTGCTAGCATTTTTTATTTGGACAAATGATAGACATAASGCTAAAATGCTTTCAGGTTGTAATGGAGGAAGGTTTTTGGGAATCAGTYTTCAGTAAAATCTCTTCAGTGAAAAATCAGAATTTCATAGCTTAATTTATTGTCCTCCTCCTAGCAAAATACCTGTCACCAGCAAGATAATTTAAGCTCCATGCAATTTCAAGGGTGCTAAGAATGTTTATGTATGTTTAGCTGCAAAAAAATAAGCTAAGMTCTCACTAGCGTAGAAGTTTTACAAGAGCTAGTTCCTTCATTCTAGATTCTTTGTCAGAATGAAGTCACTAATAAAAATCTCACAGGCAAAGTCTGTGAGAGACTGAAGAGTCTTCGTCTCTTCCTTTATTGCGGTTAATGACGATGCGTTGCTTTTGGCAAGACTGCCAAGACCCAGTGCTTCGCACTGCAGCTCTTCAGTGGAAGGAAGTAGGGCAACAGTCATGAAACTTCGGAAAAGGCTTCTGGCAGCCACAGATCTGGGGCTGTAATACCCTAATTTTATGTGCTCAGCTCCCAGCAGCCAATTTTGCATGTGTAGGGGCTGAACGCACAGTGGGGAGGGCTGCAGTCCCCAAAGCCTGCTCGGGCAGAAGTGTAGGGCATGAAATCCTCTCCGCATCTGTGAAGATTAGGGCCACCAAAGTGGTTAGGCAGTCCTTGTCCTGCCAGCACAAAGCACTTTCAGTCACGCAGCAGCAGTGTTAAGRATGAGATTCATTTTTCCTCTTAAGTTTAGTTCTGTCCTGGTGGTTAGAGTATTCACCTAGGAGGCACATGAGATCAGTGCCATCCAGAAGCTCTGCCCATGTGTGAAGGCAACCTATAGGCACAGGCTTGACCGAAGAGCAGCAGGGCTTGTCAAAATGCAAAACTTGCACCTCCCAGTGGACTTCTAAGTGAGAAGCAGAGATATCTTGTGCGTGTCAACAGGGTTAGCATTGCGCCGTTGCTTTTTGCACTGCGTTTCCACTTATGTCCTGCTTCAGGGAGTTGGGTCTGTATTGGTTCTAGCCTGAGTGACCAATGCAAGGTTTTACAGTGAACTCAGAATAAGAAAGCTTCTTTATTCTGTTGGTCTCCATGGACCAAGCATGGATTCATATTTAAAAGGCATTTTTTCAAGCCTTGTTTAAAACAGACAAATATATATGGGAACATTTATCAAAGTTTGGTGAAGACAGTTAGTCAACGTGTCCCATTGATCTAATGTGCAACAGCACTTTGCCTGCTGGTAGCTTTGCACTGAAGAACAACATACATTGACTGTTTTTTAATGTAAC